TCCCCCTCCCTCTCTTTAAAAAAAAAGGGGTGGGGGGCGCCTGGGTAGCTCAGTGGGTTAAGCCTCTGCCTTCGGCTTAGGTCATGATCTCAGGGTCCTGAGATCGAGCCCCACATTGGGTTCTCTGCTCAGCAGGGAGCCTGCTTCCCCCCTCTCTCTGCCTGCTTCTCTGCCTGCTTGTCATCTCTGTCAAATAAATAAATAAAATCTTTAAAAAAATTAAAAAAAAAAAGTTTTATGGTCTACCAGCTGAGCCAACCAGGAGCCCCAAGAGCACTACTGTTTGACACTGCTATAGGATATAAAATTACTACTCTCAGATGGGTTACAACCTAAAAATGGGGCTAAGGCCATATATACTATACTATGACATAAGGATGAATGAAAATACTGTGGGACTTCTGAAGAGGGAGATGTTTTACTTTGTAGGAGATGGAGAGAGATAACATGAAGGAGAGCACATTTAAGATGTGTAGCCTTTCTGAGTTCAGGTAGGAAGACATTCCAGGTGAAGGGACTAGGAGTGGAGGCAAAAAGCATCATCTATAAAGGGAATTGGCAAGGAGAGGTAGATTACAGCTTTATGGTATTTGGCCTTGACTACTGTAGAGGAGGAGTTGTGCATATTTAACAAAACAGAATCACCAGAAGTTTTTGAGCAAGGCAGAGATACAAAAGTATGTTTTAGAAACATTAGTCTAGTGGCAGTGTGTAAGGTTGATTCTAAGAAAAACTATAATAACCCAGGGAATTCGAATTTGTAAGTGGCAATTCATTATGCACAAAGTTTACATAAATTCTGAATCTGGGTAATTGAGAAAATGTTGGCCCTATTAACAGAAGTTAAATCAGAAAGAGGCCAATTTGAAAAGGTTAGGGCAATGATTTTCACTTTAAATGTGAGTCTGAAGTCCCAACAGAATATCCAAGCTAACTATATAGTGGGCAGTAGAAAATTCAGGATGAGATTTGAGAGGCTTCTACAGAGTTGAAATCATATGACTGAACATACTGGGTGCAGAGAGAATATAGCCAACCTTCAGGAAACATCCACATTTAGGAAGAAAAAAAAAGACAACACAAAGAGAAAGGAGTATCATATCCTCAACTAGATGTAAGCTCTTAAATAGGTTTAGTACCCTCATTCTTTGTATCCCTTGTTGTAGAGATTAATAAATTAGTGGTTTGAATGTATGGGTAATGAAAACCACAAGATTGATAAGACTCTTTTTACAGGATGAGGATGAAGAAGTATACAAGAGAGATTTCAGTGCACCTACCCTGGAGGATCACTTCAACAAAACCATTCTTCCCAAAGTCATGCAGGTATGGGTTACCTTAAGAACATGAGAGAGAAAAGTTATGTATTGAGGACTTGATGTTTGGTGGTATAACTCATCATCTATCCTTCCTTGATCAGGTCAAGAACTTTGGGCGCTCTGGTCGAACCAAGTACACCCACCTTGTGGATCAGGACACCACCTCTTTTGACTCAGCATGGGGCCAAGAGAGTGCCCAGAACACAAAGTTCTTTAAACAGAAGGCAGCTGGGGTACGAGATGTATTTGAACGACCATCTGCCAAGAAGCGGAAAACTACTTAGAGTTCAACTACTTCTAGCTGTGAGGCACAGGCAATGTCTCAGCATCTGGTCATTGATTTGCTTTTACCATTATTTACATGGCCCCTGTATCCAGCCTATTGGACCTACTGCCATACTTGTGACACTGGGCAACCCAGTCTTTGAAGGTGCTTTGTGAGGTTTGGACTCATCCTGAGAAACCCACAGAAAAGCACTATCCAGGTAGGATCAGAGGCCCCCCACTTAAAACCATTTCTGAGAAATCTACATTTCATCACTACTCTGCCTTCCCAAATTCACTTGGGACTATTCCAGATTTCTTTTTCCAGCCTCTTAGCTTGGGTTAGAAACATGGGCATGTAAGTGGACAATGCCACCTTGTAGTAAATCTAAGCTCACAGATACCTGTTTTTGCATTTCTGGTTGAAGTCAGTTTTTCTAGGTGAACATATTTTTTGATCCATTTATGTGTGTGTGTCAAGAAATAAAAGAATCATACACCAAGGGTGCCTGGGTGGTTCAGTTGGTTAAGCGTCCAGCTCTTGGTTTCAGCTCAGGTCATGATCTCGTGGTCGTGGGATCAAGCCCCACGTTGAGCTCCTTGCTCAGCTCAGAGTTGGCTTTGGATTCTCTCTCCTTAGGCCATTCTCACTGCTTTCTCTCTCTCTCTCTCTCTAATAATCTTAACAAAAAACCCTACACCAAGAGGTTTCTTACGATACTGGAAATAAAATGTGCAGACTGACAAGAATCTACCTATTATTTAAATAAGACAGCAAAGAATTGTTGAGCAAAGAGTGTTTCACATTTTCATCGTCACCTTTGATCTTAGAAACAAACTAAGACACTGGATAGTCTGTACTCTAAGTGGCACCCAGATTTACTCCATGAGCAGATATATGTATGGTATTCTCTGCTCTCTAAAATACAGCTGTATTTAGAACAAAAGTTGACCCATGAAATGGGAAAACCAAGTACTTGTTTATATGTTTACATATAAACAGCCAGTTTATATGTATCAAGGAGGGTATAGTGTTCTCCAAGTTATAATTTAAAGACATTGAACTAGAGTTAAATTCAGTGGTTTTGCACTTAATATTTATTACATAACCACCATGCACATGGCAGAGCACTAGGGTCCTAGAGGTTATAAGGAATGACATTTCATCAGTCGGGAGGCTCTTTCTCAATTACATAAAGAGATGAGATGGCCAAGGTCTTTTCACCATCTTTTAAGTGCCCCACTGGAAGAAACATTCACAAATCTTTCATGTCCTAAAAAATCTGAATATAAATTACTATGAGGTAATAAACACATAAAGATGTCATATGTGTGTGCCAGAGGGATACAATTTAAGAATTATCCTAGAGCCAAAATGAGAATAAAACACTGAAATTCTTTTAAGAACACGTTTATAGCTGCTATCTGAGTGTCCACTCTGAGGCAGGTATTAGGCCAAGCTTTTCACATTCACCAACTCCTCAGTTCTTAAAACAACCTATCAGGTCTATATCATTTTACAGTTGGGGAAACAAGTTCAGCCACGACCCACACCCACTGTGTGCTCTTAAAAAAATTTTTTTTCAAAAGTGGCTTATGAACAAGATTGGTGGTATATAAACCACCCTAGAGACCCATGCCATGGGCTTCAGCAACCTTGCTGAGATTCCAAATATACCCTAAATACCACTGAAGGCTAGTCAGATGAATGACCCTGACCTGCTTCCCAGTATTTGCATGTGAACATGAGGTCATGAGGTACCATTCTAGACTGATCCTTCACATGATTTCATTAACACCTGGGGCTGGAGGGGAGTTGCTTAAATTCAGTTATATTCCAACATGTAAGTTTCCCACAATAAAATACAGTATAATATACATAACACTCGATCCAAGATGATATAACTGCAAAAAAAGAAAAAAAAAGGCTACATCTTTATTGAAATAAAATAATCCAATGAGTGGGTCTGAGAAAGCACAAATCAGTTGGTCAGGGCAATAAGAGCCTCTACCACGTTGCCCATGTGTTCCCTTAAGCTCCGTTCTGCAGCTGCTCTTGAGATCTCCATCTCTGTCATCTGCAGGAAAAGGATGGACGATGTTACCTAAGTTTCTTCTGGGGCATTAAAATGCCACCAAGACTTGCTGACTCGACTTGTTTCAGTAAACAACCCCAATTAACCAATGTAAGCTCTGCCCATAGGCTAGGTAGGCGTTACTACTCACTATCAGCTCCAGATCTTCCTTCTTAATGGTGACTTTGGCCAGTTCCTTCTCCCTGCAAATATTCATGTACATTAGTCCTCATTCTCTACCTCCACCATTAACTCTCATTCTCAGCTGTGCCTTACAAATAAATGACTCCCAACGAACACTGCTGAGTGAAAATACAAAATGACTCTAACGCCCTCACCTAACATCCCCATCCCCTCCCCTCTTTAGTCTTTACAGCAGGCAGCAGGTGCTGTCAGGCCTTTCCTTCCGCCAACAAAGTAAGGTTGTAAACTTAATACATGTAGAAATCGGTGACAGAGTTGAAGAACGGTACAAGGTACAAACGCTTAACGATAGCTTTTATTTTCGTATGGGGGGGAAGTGAGGAACTGGTAGGGCTGACTGTGCCTACGGAAGACTTACCGCTCCTGTTTGGCTTTCTGCTCCCGGGACCGTCTATCTCCAATCACGGACATGGCCTATGAGAAAAACAGATCTCCTTACCGCTCTGCCACCCACAATTCCCAATAATCTAAAAAAGGTGTAAGAAGCGGGCGGCGGGTTGTGTGCGTCTATTCACATGACGAATTGGTATCAGGAACCAAGGCCTAGGTTTAACTCAATTCTGTGCACCTTAGGGCCACTTTAAACACAATCTCCATCAAGCTCCCTTTTGTAAGCGGCGGGCTCCAGTGAAGGTTTCCCTCGTGCCTTCTCTCGCCAACCGGACATGAAGCCCGTCCTGGAGCCAGGATTCCGGTTACAATCTGAGAGGCCCCTCAGCTCTCAGCCCGCCCAGACACGCTCACGGCCAACCTCACCGTCTCCAGATTGGAACTCTGGATCTCCTTCTCCTCCGCGTAGTCGGTGACTCTCTCCAGGTCCGCTGCACCGCTGTCATGCTTGCGTGGCTTCTCGGGAGGCCGCTCCGGGCCGCTGGTCTCAGTCTCCAACTCCAGTTCCACATCGCCCTCGGTAGCCATATCGATCCCACCGTGCCGCTGCACAGGCCCCGCCCCACTCACGAAGACTTCCGGTAGCTTCCCCGAAACTTCCGCCGGGAGAGGATGAGGCGGGGCTGACCTCGGGCCACACCTTCACTAATGTTCTGGATTCTGGAAACTTCAGCCAGGAAAGCGGGTAGCCTCTCAGATTTTTGGAGGTTCTAGTGTTTTCTTCAAGGCCCTCTCCCACAGCTAACCACTCCAGACCTTCCCATCCAACATCCTTCTCACCTAGATCCTACCCACTCCATCCCAACCCTCCTCCCCTGCCCCCAATTCCGTTCAACCAGGAAAGATGACGTCTAAACCTAAACCAATTAGGAATGCTAATCCACTAGAGGCCAGATTTGCAAACTGCTCCCTAATCTGGAGAGAACAGCCACACTGTGTGGCCCAAAGGCCCTGGAGAAAGAGTAGCTTTACATCGACATTTGCATTCACCACATCCTGGAGGTCGGTGTTCTTTTCCTGATGTCCGTCCCCGTTCTTCTTTAGAGTGGGTGACCACCCCCAGCACTGTGGCAGCCCATGGCGGAAGACAAACGAAAGCTGCTACTTTCTCATCTACCTTCCATCTGGTAGACCTAGGCCTAATCCCTGGGACAAGGATGGCGGGTGCAAAGGCTGTCACAGGCCCCAGCACCTCCCTCCGCCTGGCACAACGCACTGAAGTCAGCAGTATTATGGTGAATCCTCCCTTCTATCAGGTGAGCGTATACTTGGGCAGAGGGGCTTGAAAAGTCCCCTGATCAAGAACTATCTGAAAAAAATGGAAGGGAATGGTAACTGAAGCTGGGGAGGAAAACCCACAGGAGCGAATAAAAATGATAGGCCTTCCTCTCACCTCGGAAGCCTTTCCGTTTCTTTGCCCCTGAGACTAGGATCATTAAACCTCTCCTTCCACTTCCCAGTACCAGATCTGTAGGTTTACAGAAAGGTGAGAGGCCAGGTGTGACTTAGGCTTTTAGGAAGGTCTGCTCAAGCCTGCATCATCTCTTATGATGAAAGCTCTACTTGATGTCAGTGGAAGGCAATCCTAAATAGCTTGGAACCAGATTCTGAGAATTCCTGAGTAAAAGAAAAGGGAAAGGGAAATTTTGGAATTCAACCTCATGGGTTAATCTAATGCATATATTAATGTAAGCTTTTCCTCAGCAAATCTCCATCTTGCTGCTCAACCCCCAGGTGTCCTGCTGTGGGCCTGTTCCCTGTACCTGCTGCTGCCATTCTAGGTGCCCCCTTGTCACAGAATCTACTTGTAGCCGCCTGTTCTACATCCTCCTCCATCTGGGGTCCTCAGCAGTCTGCTGCCTCCTGCTGTCAAAGAGAGTAGTGGAAAGGGTCTGGGGGAAGGAACATGGGGTAAGTGAGAGGGTTCGGGTTGCCAACAGGAAAAGGAGAAAAAGAAGAAACCCTCAGACAAAAGATTCAGACTGGGGGGTAAGGGACAAGTAAATGGATATACCCATGAGAAGCAGGTACCTCTCTATACATGATTTGCCCTGCCATTTCTCACATGCACTCTCCCTCCAGATCCAGATGCCCTCAGGGTTGTGTGCCCATCTGTTTGGCCACCCTCATTGCCCAGTGCTCAGTGGCTCTGGAGCTGTGTACCGAGTATGTGCAGGAACTGCCACCTTCCACCTGCTGCAGGCTGTGCTACTTGTCCAGCTCCATTCCCCCACCAGCCTGAGGGCACAAGTCCATAACAGGTTTGTGTATATACACTTTGGGTGGGGTAAGGATGAGGAGGGAAGTAAGCATAAGCTGAGTAAAGGAAATTCCAAGATGAAGTGTGTAAAAACTCCAAAAAAAGCTTTTAAGTTCCTGCTTCCACCATACTTACTGTGTGACCATGAGCCCCCACATAATTACCCTCTTTGAACATCTAATTTTTAAAATGAAGCTAATTGTGGGGTTATTATATGCAAACCCTTTGTCAACTGTGAAACATTGTCCAGATGTTATTATGTGGTATCTCAGAGAATTTGGAATAGGCTAGGATGGGCCTGTTTCCAGCCCCTCTCACATGGGACTGGTTCCTCCTTTCCTATATTTAGTTGTCTCTTCTCTCCCTTTCCTATAGTTTTGCTTTCTCCTTTGCCTTTTCTTGAGTCTTGTTTTGTCTCCTAACCAGCTTCTGGCTCCTCAAACTGCTGTTCCTGCTAGGTCTCTGTGCTGTTGCCTTCTGCATCCCTGATGAGCATCTCTTCCCAGGTACCTTCCATCTCATATCCTAATCAGCAGGCGTAAGCTAATAGATGTTCTAAGGAAAAGTGAGGGTAAGGAAAAAGAAAAAAAAACAAAACAAAACAAAACAAAACAAAAAAAACAGGAGTAATGACATGGTCAGCTACATTTTCCCACTGGTGCCACCTACTTGCAGCTTGGCATTACATTGGCATCTGTGGAGGCTTCATATTCATCCTGCTGCAGTTGGTGCTTATCACAGCCTTTGCCCATTCCTGGAACAAAAACTGGTAAGGTGCACCTAACCCTAAAGGCTCTTCCTGGGAAGGTTGTCTGACCTGGGAAGGTTGTCCAACCCAGTGTGGTCAAACAAAAGGCATGACAGGTCAGTGGTCCCTAACTTCCCACTAAGCAGTACCAAAAAGTTCAGAAACATGACTCTGTGGGCTAGGTGGGATGGGGTTGGAGCCCCAAGCCACTGTCCACCTCCTACCCTTAGGCAGACTGGTGCAGCCCAAGACTGCTGCTGGTTCTTGGCGGTACTGCTGGCCACCCTGGGATTCTACAGCATGACAGGTGTGGCAGCTGTGCTCCTGTTCCGCCACTACACACACCCAGCTGGCTGCCTACTCAACAAGATGCTGCTTAGTCTGCACCTTTGTTTCTGTGGCCTCCTCTCCTTTCTCTCCATCGCTCCCTGCATACGCCTCAGTGGGTACATGCCTTGCAACATTCCAAATCTGGAAGGCCTTTAGTATAGAAAAATTCATTAGCTTCCCTAATCTTAGTGAATTGCCTGCTTCCTCCTAAGGGTAGGGAAAAGTATAGATCAGGGTATGAATGGAAGAACTTCTTCTCTGTAGACAAAAGCAATGATCTCCATTCTCCCCAGGGCAACCCCGTTCTGGCCTTCTACAAGCCTCTATCATCAGCTGCTATATCATGTACCTGACTTTCTCTGCACTGTCCAGCCGTCCTCCAGAGAATGGTAAGGACCAGACCTGGACTCCCCAGGTTAAAACTTTTTTTGTCCCTGCCAAATACTTAGCTCTTTGTTCTTACCACCTTTCTTGTTTCCCCTTCTCAGTATTCCTTGAAGGACAAAATCACACTCTGTGCCTCCCTGGCCTAAGTAAAGTGGAATCGCAAACACCAGATACTTCTCTGGCAGTGCTAAGTGCTGGCATCATGTATACTTGTGTCCTTTTGGCTTGGTGCGTAAGGTATCAAGGGGAGAGGTATGAGAGAAGGGAGAATACCCAGGACAGAGAAGGATGGTCAGGAGACTGTCTGGGACCATGGTTTATTTGAACTTTAGAGCAAGACAAGAGTGAGGGAAGTTCCCCATAAACAGAAACAATTTCTAAAAATAGCACTTGTCAGATGATCTGTATTAGATGAAGGGGGTAGGGAGAATGACTTGAGAATTAAAAATATGTACAAAGGTTTTAGGGCCCTCACATGATGAGATTTATAAATATTTGGGGGAAACAGGCTCTGGAAATAGAATACCCTCCTGAGGATTACCAATATGGACCAGCTAACAGTACATACGCTCAGGCAATCCTCCTGCTATTTGACTGGACCTGCTTGAGAACTGTTTCTTCTTTCTCAGCAATGAGGCTTCCTACCTGGCTGAGGTATTTGGGCCCTTGTGGATTGTCAAGGTTTACAGCTACGAGTTCCAGGTGAGGATGGAGAGCTCAACAGCCCCAATGCCGTTCCCCCCTCACACACAGACAAAGATACACACACATCCTACCAACCTCTACCCAGAATGCTCAGATTCTAGCTGCTGTTACCTTTTATTAAGTACCCACAATGTGCTAAGCACTGTGCTACTTTACATTCATCATCTCATTTAATTTAATCCTCACAACAACCCTGTGAGGTAGGTATTTGCTCCATTTTACAAATGGAGAAGTTGAGGCACAAAAGGTTAAACATCTTACCAAAGTTTTCATAGCCAGTTATATGCTGGAGCTAGAATTTGAACCCAGGCGTGCCTCCACTTTTTACGCCAGACTAATCTTTTCAAAGCGGAATTTCCTGTATTAATACCCTCACATTCTTTAAAAAGTCATTCCAAAACATGCTGCCTTTTGTTTTACAGAAGCCCTCACTCTGTTTCTGCTGCCCTGAAACAGTGAAACCAAAGGAAGGTGAGTGTCATTAAGAATGTCCCTAAAAAAGTGTAGATTTCTGCAGAGTGCCAAAGAGCCCTGGAGCGCCTTCACAAAAGAAACTGGGGGAGGAGGGAAGAAGTGTTTCAGCCATACTGCTGTTAGCAGTCCTTCCCTCTCTCCAGGCCAGATGGGTGGGGCTGCCAGGCCAGCTGACCAAGACACCTCTCCAGCTCCTCCAGCACAAGCCCAGCATCTCTCCTACAGCTATTCTGCCTTCCATTTTCTCTTCTTCCTTGCATCACTCTATGTCATGGTTACCCTTACCAACTGGTTCAGGTAGGATGGAAGTAGGCCTGGGATATATATACTCCTGAAAACCTGTTTTAGGAAGAGCAATTTAAGGCCAGTCCTAAGGGTTCTCAGGAGACACATGGGTCCACCATTATCTTTGGTGGGGAGGTAGGACAGGTCTGAAAGGTAAGGTCCTATGTATTCTCTAACCAGAGACTTTGGTTCCACAGCTATGAGGGAGCAGAACTGGAAAAGACCTTCACCAAGGGTAGCTGGGCTACCTTCTGGGTCAAGGTTGCCTCATGCTGGGCCTGTGTACTCCTCTATCTTGGGCTGCTATTGGTACCACTCTGTTGGTCCCCCACCCAGGACTCCCAGCCACCTCCTACATTCAGGGGACCCGGCCTTCGCATAAGTACTGCAAGGTAACAAATATTCAGTCTAGGTACTGTTAACTGGGGTTCCCTTAAGGTCATACTCCCTGTCTTGACTCAGGAACTGCCCAGCCCAGCAGGTACCTCAAGGACACAATGGGCAGTTATCTCCCCTTTAAGTCAGTACTATTTTTGAACAGGAGATAGTGGCCATACATACTCTAATGCCATGGGCAGAGTGTCTCACTCACTGGAGCTAGTGTTACATCTTTACCCCAGCTCAAGAACCTAACTCCCAAGTCAGCAGCTCAGGAACCACTGCTGATCCCAGCAGAGAGTGCGGCACTAGCCCTTTCCTGGCTCTCACAGTGGAGATGGGGGCAGGGAAAGACCAACAGGGACTGAAGACTTACTTGGCTCTGCCCTTGGAGATAAAAAGAAAAACAAGCAGTTCAGCCCTGGGCACAGGGAGATAAGCAGCCCAGAACAAACCAGGACACAGAAAGAAAGAAACAGAGACCACCCTAGGTTTTATCCTGATCTTGAGGTCAAAGAAGTGGGAAGACAAAAACCACCCTTATTCCATGAAGAATGACAGAACAGAAGAGAATGTGAACACCAGAGAGCAACTGACCGTGAGAAGTCAGTGAGCAGCAGGATTTGGGGGCCAACTTTCAAGCAAAGTTTCAGGCGAGCAAAATGAGGAAGAATGAGAAAGAGGGGCATAAACTTAGGTCTTGAAGCCTTCCTTCTTAGACCCTCAACTCCATCCTTGGGATGGTGTTCAAGGTCTGGGTGGGGGACAAAAATCACAGAAAAGAAGTTCCTAAAGTTCTTAGAGGATTCCTCTACCACATACTTGGAGTACTTGTCTGTTTGTTGTAGTAAAATAAAGAATTTCCTCTGTGATGTTTCACTTAGTCTATATATCTACAACCTTTTAGAATCTAAAGTTCTCTCCCCTTTTGGTGGGAAAGGGCAGCCATTCCTCCATCCCCATCCCCCCAAATCCCCAGTCAAACCAGGCGCTCAAGAAATTACAAAGCTACTTTTAATACTTTGGGGTGAGCCCCACAGGAATAAAAAACACTGGGAAGGGGTAACCCCCTCACCCCCAGGCGTGGCCCAGGGGGAGAGAGGCTACCTGAGGGGAAGGAAGCACAAAAGGGACCCGCTGCAGACTCAGGGCAAAGGGAATGCCATCGGTGCTGGGACCTGTGAGCACTACAGGAGAAAACGCGAGCGTGGTGGGACTGGCTCCAGGCACACAGGCGAAGGGCAAGAGGGTTGGACACGAAGCCACAAAGCTACTTGGGTTCCTCCTTCTTCTCGTTTGCCTTTTTCTGCTTCTGCTGCATGATCTCCGAGTCCCTGGGGGTAGAGATGATGGGGCACTGGGAGGTACCAGAGGGCAAAAAGGACAAGATGCAGGGGGATGAAGGGCACAAAGGATAAGATGGAAGTGGATGGGACAAAATTCAGCGTGTGCCTGCTGTATTCCCACCCTAGGAGAACAAGAGGAAGAGAGCTGAGGCTTAAAAGGCAATCAGTCTCTATCTGGCTGTTGCCTAAGGGGTCAGAAGTCTGGCCACACAGGCCCAAGGCTATTCTTTGCTGAGTACCACACCCAGCAACACCACTGAGAAGGTTGGGAGAAGGGAGGAGAAACTGAACACCAAAGAGGGCCGTAAGTACCGTGCTGTCATAACCACTACTGCATTTGAAATATGAAGCTCCCTGCCCTTGCCCTTAAGGTCAGACTCCGGGGCACTCAGAAATCAACCGAGGGCAGGCACCCGCCCCAGTCCCTTCCTGTCAGGCTGTGAACTAACAATTTAGAGGGTGGGGAGGAAATAAAACTCTAGAGGAAGCAATGCACTCTGCCCCTCACTAGTCCAGACGTACACCCTGAGGTAGCTCTCTTTCCTGGTACAACCCTCGGTCTAGCCCAGGTCTCACCCCTCCCCTCCCTTCCCTTCCCCTCCCTGGGGCTACCTCTGCTTGCGGGCGGCAGCAGAAAGCCCGTCATCTCGGCGCTTTCCCTTAACCGAGTCGCTCTGCTTTTTCATATTCTTCTGGCGGGCGAGCTCGCGCTGGTTACCGCCTAAAGAAAGAAGGTAAAAGGTGAGGCGCAGGGGGCCTTTATGGCCACACACAGGCGACCCTCCTCCCTCACCCGGACACCAGCAGGGTCCAGCGCTTATTCCTCGGTCCCGGCACCGGCCCATTTTGGGGCCTAGGCTACTGAGTGGGGCAGGAAGATGGGGGGTGCTGATGGCAAGCTGCCACGGGGCAGGTCAGACTGGGAGGTGGAAGAACAACGGTTCCGAGGAGCCCGCGTGTTTCGAGTTTCGGGGCGGCACGGGGTTCCAGACTGGTGGTGATGTGTGGACAGTTTGGGTCTCTGTGGGGGATGGGCTGCGACCTGGAGTTGGGGTCTCTGGGCTTTTCACGGGCGCGGGGCTTCTCGCCACGGCGCGGAAGGTCGCGGAGGGCCTTTGCTTGACTGGAGCGGGAGAAGGGGGAGGGGGTTCTCAAGAAGTGGCGGTGGGCAAAAGGCCGATTTCCGGCGCCGAGTGTGAGGGTCTCAAAAAGCGCTTCCAGAGAAAGGCCTTGCTGGGGAAGCCAGGAGGAGGTCAAGGCCAAGATTCGGCAGTCGTGTTTAGGGTGGACGGGGAGAAGGGGGTAAGAAGAGAGGGTCTCGGTGCTCACGGGTCATGGCGACGGCAGCGGCTCCGGCCTGCCTCCGTTGCGTCCCCTCGTTCTGTCCGACGTTGCAGGCCCCGCCCCCTTCTCCAAGCGTAACGAAGTCGTCCTTTCCTCCCCGCCCCTTTGAGCGCGGGCTCAGTCTCTCATTGGACAGAAAGAAACACGTGGGGCTGCGAGCCACGCTTCAGCCCGGGCGGATATGGGGCGGAGGTTCGCCGGCCGAGTGCGCTGCGTGGGGCGGGGCTTCCTGAGCTAGGCGTTGGGTCGGGCGGGGAGAAAGTAGGCCGGGTCACGTGGGCAGGGTGGGGGTGGAGGGGTGCGGCTGGCGATGTGGCGTTCCCGCGGGCTCGAGCACGTGACTTGGCAGAGTGACCTCATGCGGGGACCGTTTGGGACGCCGACAAACTCGCCCAAGGGGAACGGTAGGGGATGGAGGGCGGGGTTTTGGGGGGCCGTAATGGTTTACTCTGTTCTGTATTATCAGGACTCTGGTACTTCTGTATTATCAGTACTTGGCCCTGTTACTCAGGATTTATCCCCCAGTAACCACCTATGTAGACACGAGTTGTTCACCTATAAGGTAAAGTCAGGTACAAACCTAACTTTCAGTAACCCCTTTCCAACTACATTGTACCCTCACCGCAAACCCCTCCCATAGAAACTAGCAGCCACATCCCTTGTGTCCTAAAACTTTAGTCCTGTTCGTTTCCTACAGAAATATTGAATGGGAAGATGACAATAGTTTGGAAATTTTGGAGAACCCGAAAATCAGAGACTATGGAGTTGGATCAGAGACTAAGAGACTGGGAAATTCACATACTGTGAACATTTCTCCCTCTGGACGTTTCGCCAGTATACTACTGGCTTATGAAAGAATAAGGCAGGAAGCCTGGGCACTAAACTCATTCTCCTCCCCAGCTCCACTGTCTGTCCACAATCCTCCCCACCAGTCCTGAGGAATTCATTGGATAAAGGAGAAATGCTTAGGAAATATCACAGGAAAGGACTGTTTGTAAATTTTATTATGTGATTCTCTCCAGTTGGTGCTCATAGCAAAACGGAGCTGAGTCTAGTACTTCAGACTATCTTCCCCCTCAACATAGACCTGATGGGAAGGCAATGAACTTCAGTGCCATCCTCACAGTTTTTGCCAAGCCAAAGTATCACTTGAACTACTATTACTTAAAATGTACCAAACTTATGGGACGCCTGGGTGGCTCAGTTGGTCAAGCGGCTGCCTTCCACTCACTCAGTTCGTGATCCCAGCGTCCTGGGATTGAGTCCCACATCAGGCTCCTTGCTCTGCAGGGAGCCTGCTTCTCCCTCTGCCTCTGCTGCCACTCTGCCTGCCTGTGCTCTCTCTTTCTCTCTCTGACGAATAAATAAATAAAATCTTAAAAAAAAAAATACCAAACTTAAATAAAAGTTATAAATCAAACTTCATAATCCTTTAGTAAATTTAAAATTGGTATCACCTGACCACAAACAGAAAGTAACTTTAAAAGTCAAAAGTCAGTACAATGAAAATGAAATATATTATCAAATTCTACCAAAATAATATCATTGTCAAAGATGCTGAGCCTGGGGCCTGCCCTCTCTTTCTTAAAAAGATAAATTAACAAGCTTTAGAGAGGTAATATGGCATATGTCTTTGAAACTAAAACTTTCTCTTGATACAGATTAACAATAATTTTTATATTTTCAGTGTTACTTAATGCTATGTTTCCATACTACCTAAAATTATTTCTCACACCACAAGTGCCATATGTCCCACCCTTTGGTACATATTAAATGTACTAGATCAACATTGGTGCCATATATAACTTTGTACAAATCCTGACTCTGCTACATACTGGATTTGATTTTAAACCCTATTTCCTCCATGTTTCAATTCCTTTATATGAAAAATGGGAATAATCTCTAACCCTTAGCATTGTGGAAGAGATTAATACAGATACCAAAGTGTTGGCCCATAATAGGCATTCGGTTAATGTCTCCTCCATCTCCCTTCTTCCAAGTCCTAAAACTTCCTTTTCTTTCTCTAAATTCCTCTAACCCTCCTGAGCCAATATCTGAAATGGCCTCCAATGATCCTTTCCTCCTGGTATCTATATCCTAGTGAAGTCCTTGCCACACTGAATCAAGGTTGGTCTGCGACCAATAGAATATGGCAGAAGTGATGATATATCACTTTTTTTTAGTATTTTATTTCAGAGAGCAAGAGAGAGAGCATGAGCTGGGAGAGGAGCAGAGGGAGAGGGAGAAGCAGGCTCCGCACTGAGCCGGGAGCCTGATATGAGACTCCAGGATCATGACCTGAGCCAAGGGCAGACATTTAACTGACTGAGCCACCTAGGTCCCCCTGATACGTCACTTCTGATGTTAAATCATAAAAGACATTGTGGCTTCCGCTTTCCTCTCTCTCTTGGATCACTGGCTCTGGGGGAAGCCAGCTGCCATTTCATGAAAGACCCATATGATAAAGAACTGAATCTGTGGCCAATAGCCAAGGGAAGGGAAAATACCTCCATTTAAACTCATCACAAAATTGAGAGGAAATAAATTACAGAGATGAGGCTCTGAAACAGAAGGATGTAAGGCAAAATTTAAGGACCCCAGACACAAAGTCGGAAAATGAGGAAACTGACTTGAAGGGTGGGGACATCACCTGCAGACCTGCAGCAGCAGTTTGACCACAACTCTTAAGCAGAATTTGGGCTGTCTAGTCTACCACTGTAAGGTTCCCAATGAAGCCAAGCCACTTGGGTCCCTTTGCATGTAAAGAGACTACAGAACCAGCCCCATGAAGAAAACGGAGCCATATTGTGAGTGAAATAGTATAGGATGAGGAAGCAAGTTCTCTTTGGCACCTGCTACCTGCTTATCAACTCCAGCATTTCAGGTGGGTGAGAGAGTAGAACAGCCTTATAACCAGTCTCCTCTTATCAACTCACCCCACCCTACCCCCCATGACTAAGAGTCTGTTTCCAATCCTGTCAGAACATGGACTGGTTGCCACACCCCTCCATCTAATTTTCCCAGGAGTTGCCCAAAAAATTCACTCATTCTTTCAACACATACTGTGTTGTACACCAACTATGTGTCAGCTATTGTTTAGACATTAGGTATACAGTGACAAAAAAAGCAAATATATATATATATATACACACATACATACATATATATATATATAACATATAGTGTAGGCAGGAATCAGCTTGTGTGTGTGTGTGTGTGTATATATATATATATATATATATATGCAAATTGATTGTGAGAGAAGATAACAGATTCTACGCAAGAATGATATTCAAAATATTTAACAGGGTACACAGCATAAGCACCTACCCAACAAAACAGGTCTCAGTCTAATCTGAATGAAGACTATCTGTGAACAGTTCTTCCACCTGTCCTGGTAAGAAATCATAGTACTGCTAGTTCTGTGAAGGGTTCTGTAGACCCTAACTTTGATTAGGGAAGTGAAACAAGTAACATTTGAGCTGAAGCAAAAAGGATGAGTCAGCCAGGCCAATGGAAGAGAGGCAGGGAGAACATTTCAGGGGAGGGGATATCATATGTGAAGGCCCTAAGGTCCTGCTTCCTGAGGCTAGCCTATCAAGAACCACAAGGTAACAGGGAATGCCCCCCCCACCCCGCCCTGTCGCTTATCTTTGTTTCATCCTCTCAGTCCCAGATCCCTTGACATGACAGGAAATGGCCACCTCTGGTACCTGCCCTCACATCTCATAGCTTGCTTGAGAGAGATCTGAATCTCTTTAGTTTTAGTTTTTAAAATTCCAGGATAGGTCTGTAATAGGTTGGGTATCTAACCTTATGATAAGGAGGTAGGTGTGAGGTAGGATATAATGGCAGGATATAAATAGCCCCACATGATGAGTATGTGAAGGAACAGGTTTTTCAAAGAAAGGGAATTTGTTACCGAAGAAAGGAAAATGGAGACAGATAAAACAAAAGATGTCCATTACATGAAGGAGAGAAGACCGCTACTTGAGCTGAAATGGTGGCAGCAGAAATGGCAGTGTGCAGCATCAAGATATATTTTGGAGACTTGTTGAGAAAGGAAGATACTATTTATTCCTGAGTTCCTTCATTTCTTCATCAAATATTAAGTGTACATCTATTATGTGCCAGACACTGCTAGGCACTGAGTATTCAGTGATGGACAAAATAGACATGGTCTCTGACCTCAGGAAGTTAATATTTTAGTGGAGGAAACTGACAACTCACAAGTAATCCAAACAATATAAAATTACAACTTGCACTAAGTGCTAAAAGAGAAAACAAAAGTTCAAGGATGAAGATTAATGGAAGAGATCCAGTTCTGTGGTGACATTTAAACTGAGGCCTGGAGCCAGTTGCAGGAAAAACAGAAGAGGGTTCCAGCAATATGGTTGAATCCCTAACATTCTTTACATCCCTTCTTATGAAGGAAAAGCAGGGCAGCTTTAGGAAATTCTCCCCCTCCACCCTATATTCCAAGGGTGGTCCTGGAACGGCTAAGTCAATCAAAGTAAACTCATCGCTCTTAATATTGATTGGCTCAAGAGCCCAGACCTAAGCCATTGTTTGCATAGTATTCACCTAGTGAATGTTATTGATTCAGGAGTTAGCATGGGACCTAACTTGGCCTGATCAGACCAAACAGAAGAGGTTTTTGTTGTGAGGGTATGCATGGTGTTCTGTCTCACTGACTTGAACAAAGAAGTAAAGAACTCCTACGACTCCTGGCTTCTATGACCTAGAAAGGCCAGCTTTAGGTTGAAGCAAAATTAATGGTAGAAGGCATCTTGGTTCTTGATGATGCCCTTGGACCACTGGATGTATCAACTGTAACATCTGTTCTACCTCTGAGCTTCCGGCTATGAGAACCATATGTTTTTGTGTAAGCTGCCTTGAGTCAGATTTTTGTTACTTCAGCCAAATACATTTTAATCAATATACAAGCAAAAGAAACAGTATATGCAAAGGCCCTGAAGTGGGGAAAGCTTGAATATTAGATGCATATAAGAGATCGCATAATGAAATGATCCAATCAGGTTATCTTAAAATGCAACCAGCTTTCTGCATGCGTACCAAACTTCCAGTCAGCTTTTCAGTGCCTTCCTTGTGGAAAG